CAAAAAAAGACCCACCTCCCCCCACTCTCTGGGTGCGCCCCTCCAGCCACTTAGCAACCCATTTGACTGTGAGGGGTTGACACCACAGTCCCCTAGTTTTTTAATGAGAATGGGGTGAGAGACAGTGTCGAAGGCCTTCCTAAAGTCCAGAAAGACTATATCCACAGCTACCCCTGCATCTAAGGATTTTGTGACCTGGTCATAGAAGGCCACCAGGTTGGGATGACAGGACTTGCCTCTAATGAACCCATGTTGGTTGACCCTAAGCATAACCTCCCCTGCTGGCCCGTCGTGGACATGTGCCAGGATAACTTTCTCAAAAAGCTTACCCAGGACCGAGGTAAAACTAACTAACCTATAGTTTCCTGGGTCCTTCTTCCTCCCTTTTTTGAAAATGGGAACCACACTGGCCCTTTTCCAATCCTCCGGCACAATGCCAGAGCACCACAAACGCTTGTAAAGCCGTGCCAGGGGTCCCGCAACGACCTCTGCTAATTCCCTCAGCACTCTGGGGTGGAGATTGTCAGGACCTGCTGATTTAAATATGTCCAGTCCCTCCAGAAGTTCCCTGACCAGGTCCTCTCTGACCCTAGACCTTGGTGTGCCTCCCCTGGGGTTTACGGGGGTCCCGGTTGGGGGGGGGGGGGGATGACCAGTGACCTGGTCCCTGCTCAGAAGAATGGAGGCAAAGAAATTGTTAAATAGGTTAGCTTTGCTGTTTGGTGCGACGACCAGATTTCCTAGTGTGTCTTGCAGAGGCCCCACATTACCTGGTACCTTCTTTTTACCCGCTATGTATTTAAAAAAAGGACTTTTTGTTGTCCTTGATCTGGGTAGCTAGTCCCAGTTCCATCTCCACCTTGGCCTTCCTGACCACCCCACTACAGCCCCAAGCAACAGAGGTATAGTCCTCCATGGTGATGGCCCCTCCCTTCCATTTGGTGTACGCCTCCTTTTTAGCTAGGAGACGTTCCCAGATGCTTTTGGTAAGTCAAAGAAAGAAGAGCACCAGAAAGAGATCAGAATGGCACTTACAGAGGGTCCTGAGATAATTTGTGGCATGCCTGCCAAAAAGGTCAACCTGCACTGTATTGGACAATAACCTTTCACATCAAACCAAGTGGATTCAGTCAGTAGCAATACTTAAATCAAGGGACTTGCACCTGCTCTTAACTTTTCACAAGTGGTATGCAGACACTGGGATAGTCACAGAAAAGTAGTCCACATTTTGTCTGTGCCCCCAACAAGAGCTACGGCATCCACTGTATAGATCTTTGTGGATGAATGCAATCTAGGCACTTACATTATCCTTAGCACAAGAAGAGCTGAGTGGCTCAGAGGAATTATTTGGTATAATATATTATTTGGTGGGGCATGCACCACTGCCTATAAACCAGAGATTCACAGCTGAAATTCTATAGAAACAACACATTTTTCCCTGCTATCAGTTCACACTACTTTTGGCCACCAATAGTCATACTGGCATGTACGCTGCGGGTGTAGTTTTTTTCTCCCCTGCAGGTTGGGGGAGGGAAGAGGAAGAGAAGAGTAGGTAGAATTGGTCACAAGTGGTCCACACAATTCCCTGTGACTAATAATTAGTCTGCTTTAACATGCAACAAAGATGTCACACATGGAGATGCTTTCAAACAGGCAAGCTGGCCAGCAGGGGCTAATGGAACAAAGCCCTACTAATAAAGCCACAGCTGTCAGCTATTTGAGAAATACTTGAGGAAAGGCTGTGCTACAGTATTGCTTGCTGACTGGTGTCTCTACAGCTGCTGCCACCTTTGACAGTCACTGGAGTCTGGTTCTACAGCACCTGAACTAGCGATCTATGAAGAGCAATGAACATAGGTTGCTGTACGGTGAGCTGTATTCAGCACCACCAAAGCAGAGCATTAGGCACCTGTAGTTAGTCCTTTCTTGCTACATACACTCCTGCTTCTTGAGGGCCAAAGTTAAGAGCAATGGTGCTCAATCTAGTCTGCAGGCTACCCCAGAGCAGGAGCTCAGCAGCTCTGTGTCCACTGGGATAAGGGCCAGACTACATATTCAGTACTGGGGGGACAGCTACACAGTGCGGGGAGAGAGCACTAGGGGTTGCCAAAGCCCTGCCAAGCCACCCAGCCCTGGGCACAGAAGCCAGCTCAGCACAGGGACCACAGCTGTTTGTGACACAGCAGGCACCCAGACTCATTGCTTTGGGCTGCCAAGCCCTGGTGACTCCCAATGACAGGAGACATTCTGCCCAGGGATGCTAGGGTTGGAAGGTGCTTGGATCTGCTTCAGGATGGGCACCAGTGCCTGGAGAAGAATTAACTCGGGGACCAAGTGAGCCCAGCCCACTCTTCCTTTCCCGGGGCCATGGCTACTATTCCAGCCCTGGATCCTGCACCAACTACAGCTCCACTAAGGACATGGGGCTTCCTGGGTTGCTGCCGCTCCATCCTTGTGACCTACTGTCACCACTGCCCAGTGCAGGCCTGTGCTAGAGGTAGATTTAACAGTCCTGCTACCCACAGCAGAAGGCAGGGGTCAGACATGCCTCAGGCTCTACATCGCATCCTTGGATTCTGCCCATGAAAATGCCAGAGCTAGAGGCCACAAGGGAAACCTGGGGAAAGATGCTGGTGCCCAGCCAAGAGCCAGTACCCTCAGGCCCCACCTCGACACATTTACAGTACCTGACAAGAACCAAACCCGGCTGCATACCCAGCAGCAGGCCACCTCCCTCCCCATCAGAGGGGAGTGGTGTCCCATGATGCAGCCTGGTCACAAATGCCAGGTCAACTACTCTAAAATATAGAGCAGAATTGGAGGGTTGGGCTGGGGAAGGGAAAAATACCTGATAGGAAAAAGGGAAGAGGTCTGTGTACATCCTTACCCTGGCTAGGAAGAGCAAGAGGCAAGCTACAAGGTAGAATTATTCTCAGCCTGGGAATAAAGAGGTTTAATGTTCCTGAGAAGGTAGAAAATGGACTGGATGACAGGTCAGGTGCCTGGTTAAGTTGGCAGGAGAAATGGAGGATAGGAGTAAACTGGTAGCAGATGTATAGGGAGGGCAGGCAGTAGCAGGGGATGGCAGAAAAGAGTAACATTTATAGGGAAGATGTTCAGACCAAAGAGACCACTGTGCACAAAGAGCAAACGTGCTCTTTCCTTTCCTGTCCTTTAAAATGGCCTCAGGGCTTCATTCTGAAAGGGGAAGGCAGCATCCCCTTTATCAGTCTGCATTACCCTCCAAAAAAACACTTCCCCCTTTGACACTTACTCATCACCAAAACGGACAGTTTTTCACTTTCAAACTGAATTAACCATCGGAGAAAGGAGGTAGGACTTGCCACCTGCAGCCCTGACAGTTACTCTGGCCAATAAAAGCAACACTGCCTCCCTGATACAGTTCAAAGCTTCCTTGTTTGCATCCTGGTAGTATAGAATTTCAAATTTAGAAAACTTACAGTTCACAAGGACAATCCGTCTTCCCTATGCCCCACCTCCCTAATTCAAGGCTTGAGACAAAAAAAATAAAATAAAATAAAAATGATACACATTAGCCAGATTCTTTGCATCACACATCTAGACTTTAACCATTTGTTCTCACCTCAGCAGGTTTCTTTTGTTCATTTGATGGTGTTTTTGATTTGCTCCTGTACTTAGAACAAGAAGAAAAGGATGTGGAAGGACCTGTTTCAAGACAAACAAAAAATGTTTTATTTCTTTATTTTTTTTTAAAGAGCTCAGTTTGTAACCCACTGAATTTCACATAAGTTCTCCATAAATGACAAGGCACTTTAACTACCAAGAAATCATCTTTCTAAAATAGCTGTATGCAAAACATTCTCATGAAATCTGATCACAATGCCTGCTATTTGTTCTTTCTGAGACTAGAAAGAATGATACATTGATCATGTGAGAGCACCCTACTTGGCCTGACACGCACAAAGTCCAAGTAAAAGGGAAAGTGCCCTTTTACACTTCCCATTCCATAAAGGCAATAAGTAAGAAAGGGTAAGAAGTACAGGAAGTCTGTTGAAGGAGGAGTGAATAAAAAACCCAGTTCCAAGAATAAAGGAGAGACTACAAAAACAAAATAATGTTAAATTAAGCTGCCCTGGCACACAAGAGTTATGATACAATACCCTGACAATGTATGGCAATTTTCATTGGGATGCTGGGTCATTGTGTGAAACATTTATTAAATCAAAAGAAAAAATACCGTTTCATTACCTAGAAAGTATAGATGGGCATTGTACTTTACAAAAACTGATAAAGTCCCTGTCCCAAAACATCTGTGTATGCCAATGTAATAGAAAATGCAACAACTAGGGATGCACCGATAGGGATTTTGGGGCCAACACTGAGAGCCATTTTTTTAGGCGGCATATAGGCCAATAGTGATCCGATTTCTGATATAGCATGGAGAGCTGTGTGCAGCTGGTAAGTCTGTTGTGGTGGAAGGGGAAGGGGGAGGGAAGGGGCGTGGGGGGGCAGATCAAGGCCCTCATGGTGAGGGAGGGAGTGGGGCTGGGGCAGGTGCTGCCCACACAGGGTAGGGTGGAGCACAGAGCTGCAGCTCCTCCAGGGGACGCAGAAAGGGAGGGGGGGTGGCTCCCACCACTGCACACACCCCAGGAGGGCACGGGGGGAGGTGTGCCCCCAGGTCTTCGTGGGGCACAGCAGGGTGGACTGCAGCCAGGCTCTTCCCAGCAGGGGCTGGGTCAGGCTGCGCTTGGGGTGGGCAGTGGAGTCACTGAAAGGGGGCTACGGGGAGGCTGCAACCCCCCCAAATTTGCCATAGACCCCTCAGCCCCTCCTCCCAGCACCAACGCCACCCACCCCAAGCACAGCCCAGCTCAGCCCCCCACCAGGAAGAGCCCAGCACAGCCTCAGCCCACAGCCGGGGCCCATCCCACACAGATCGGGGGGGCACCCCCAGTGCCCTCCCAGGATGCACGCAGCAGCAGGAGCCACCCCCCACTGGACAAGCCATAGCTCTGTCCTGCACCCCACCCCAGGGGGTGTTGATCTGTTCCCCCCCACCACCTCTTCCCTTGCACCACAACAGACTTACCAGCTGCACACAGCTCTCCACGCTGCCAGGCTGTGCTCCTTACCACCTACATACTGCGCTGAAGCTGCATGCATGCACAAGCCATTTATCAGCCAAATCAGGCCCATTTTTAAGACAGCCAATTTTCTTTATCTCAGTGCCAATCCAAGATCAAACCAACGTATCGGTACACCTCTAGCAGCAACCAACCAAAGTATTCAAGGAATCGTCAAGACATACATTAGTACAAATGCCTGGTAACCAGTCTTACCACTTCAGGAAGTTTCAATCCTAAAAGCTGATCTGTAGGATGAGGGGGGCAAAGGAAGCAACTCTGTATGGAGCAGCTGACATTTATTTAATGCCCAATTAATATGGTCTAGACTAGGGGTGCACCAATAAAGATGTTCTTGGCCTATACCAATAGCCAATTACCACAGGCAGGAGAAAAAATTATTGGGGGGGGGCCCCTGAGTGTGTAGACATGCACACACATGCCCCCCCAGCAGGTAAATCTGTGGGGGAAGGGGAGGGCAAATCCAGGCCCCAGCAGCGAGGAAGGGAGCGGGGCTGGGGCAGGCCTTGGCCACACCGCATTCCCTGCCTGCCCAGCAGCAGAAGGCACAACTTGCTACCACCACTGCTGCTGGATGGGCAGGGGATGGGTGGCCCAGAGTGCAGCTCCCAGGGCAAAGGCAGAGTGGAGAGCCCCAAGCTCAGTGGGCAGCCTGCCTCTGCCCCACGCACAATCATGCCTCCCCTGGGGGGGTGTGACAAGTGGCAGGGAGCTGCCCGCGCCTCCCCCATACTCTGTGCCCCTGGACAAGTCACCCATGGCTCCATCCTACTCCCTGGAGTCCCATTCACCACCCTGTCTGGGCAGCACCCTCAGCCCCTACCCCACTCCCTCCCTCACCATTGAGGTCTTGGTCCCCCCACCATGCCCCTTCGCTCCCCTACACCCTTTCCCCTCCACAGACATACCTGCAGGGGCGCCACAGTCCATGCTGCCTGGCTGCATTCCTGGCTAAATGCATGCTGCAGTTGCGTGCATGCATGCAGCGCCTGGGGGCCCCGGCCAGACGGCATATTATATTTATCAGTGACATTACTGTCTACACCAACCAAAAAAGCTGATAATGTTACTTTTCCTTTTATCAGTGCCAATCCGATATGCAACCCATATATCAGTGTACTTCCAGTCTAGACACACTTCACATAATAAAAATAATCCTGAAGTACACCAGTTTAAACTATCTTATCTCAAATCACTCAAATGGTTCTCTACTTCTGCCATCACAAGTCCTCCTTTGAGACACTGTGGGAGCAGAAGACCACTTTATAGATTTGCTTTGTAAATCGGTATTTGGTTAAAAAAATCAACTAGTAAAGGGGAAGGATGTATACGTTTATACTTAAATTTTGCACTAGACTCAAACTCTCCTCCTGAAATTCTTAATCATCTCTAACAATAAAGCTTGTAATACTGAAGTCTAGAGGAAGCAAAAGGCAAATAAATCAAACGTAAAACAAACAAACAAAAACATTACAGGAGATAAAGCAGTTTACCCTCAAACTATAAAAGGAAACCACAGGGGGTGACAGACCAAGCAAAGACTAGTACGTATTACTTACTCTCATTGTCTGAACTGTCACTGGTGCTTAGATGCCTGTGGCGTTTCATCCTGACGCATCCTAAAGAGAAAGAAAAAAGTTGATAACAACCATTCCATGAGACGAGCAAAGTCTGTGTGTATCCTGCTGGTTCACAGGACAGACAAGGCCAGGCTCCTCTTTCCAAGTATCAACATCCTTTGCATTTTGCCACTAAATTTTGTTAATGTAAACTACTCTATGAATCTCAGTTTGCACTTTTACTTATGAGATTAGATACCTACTGGACTGCACTGTGATTAGAAAGAGTACAATTATATAAAAAAAAATTAGAAGCAAGTTCAAACTGCCAGCTCATTCTCAAAAAGCAACTAAGGCTGTTCCATGAGACTCAGTGTCCCATCTGTTCAACCAAAAGAGTTGCCATGGTGGCAGTTACTGAGAAATGGGTGGAGGCTCAGAAATAAGATGACTTTATAAATGATGCTGGGAGATGAGCATAGCCACCTTCAAATAATAAAATACTGTATACCTATGTAAATATATAAAGGCATATTTATATGGCACATTTTATATATAAAAAGTACAAAACACACGTAAGAACAGGTCACTTAAATTAGTAGATCAGAATTTTATTAAAAGATAATCTTGGATACCAGAAATCCCCTTTGAAAAGTGTACAAGTAATCAATTGAAGGTGTTAAATAATTACTATGACCCCACTACTAATTTGATAAATCAGCCAACTAATGATAAATTTATTTTTAAAATGTTTTACACACAAATATAAAGATTAAGGGAGAGGAAGGAAAAATCTAACCGAAAAGGAGGAGTCAGCATAAACCTAAATACACTTTTAAAGGTCTGTATGCCCAAGCAAAAGCTATTTTTACATCTGCCTCCTATAATACATACAAAACATTAGGGCATTTTGTTAATTAAAATGAAACGGAAAGGAAAAGTTCCATAGGTTTGAAAGAACAAGTGGGTAGATGGAAAGAAGGGGAAGGGATGCATTTCTAGTGGCTAAACACCATTCAGCAAGAATAAGCATGAAGTCTTTTTTTTTTTTTTTTTAAATGGAAGAGACAAGGATAGTAGCTTGTGAAATTTTAGGGACCTTGGATATCTGCACCTCAATAATACAATTCCTCACCGAGCTTAACTGAAAGGTATAACAACACAAACACGTTTGCTGTACTGGAAATGGTTCTCCATGCCTGACACTAAATGAGACTTCCTTCCTATAAAAACTAATGAAAATGGAGCAGTGAAATTTGTATTAACATTTCACATTAGGGTTCAATGGCTCTCGAGAGTATCCAAAAACCCATGGGACAAACAGGGTTTCCAAATGAGGAGAGCCTGTTTGAAAAAACTACAAGGAAATTATTTAAGTACTACTTCTAGCAGAATTGTTACATTTATTGGAAAATTTCCACCAGTTTTATGTTTAAGTTTTAAGCTTGAATTTACAAAATCTATTTTTAGATGTCCTTTTGTAGCACCTTCTCTTTAAAAAGAAGTCTTTTTTGTTGGGTTTTTTTTTTAAACACAAACTAGGATATTTTTAAGGTAAGAACACAGAGACTTGAACTTGAAGCAGCATTTGTACAACTCTGCTCAGTAATAGACAGTGCTTATTTCATTACAAGCCAGAACAAGGCACAGTTGCTAGCAAAATTAATATAACAACAACACATGCCCCACAGTAATATTCCTAAACATAATTATGAACTGCACAGTCTTGGGAGGAAAAACTAAATCAGACCTCTATATTTTTCAGGCTTTACCCAATTCTCACCATGCAATGATTTACTTGTTTTAACGTTAATTAGCCTCAGATGGCTCTACACGGAAACAACCAGCCGCATACAAGTAGCCACAACCTACCTGAACACCAGATCTTAACATGATGCTGATGGACCAGATTTTCCAGCACTACAGATTTCAGCTATGGACTACGTTGACATCAGTCAGGTCAGGGAACTATCACACGCATCTCTCTGGCTAGGAGAGGGATGGGAGCTAACAAGTGGATGGGTTAGTCGAGCTCCTACTTAAATAAGTTTTGAGGCATTATGTTTGTAGGGATGCTAGATATAGTGTTAAGTTGTTGGGCAGCTGCCAAGGTGGCTACTGAAGATTACCTCAACCCAGGAGATGGAGTTTAAGGTATTAGTTTTGACCAAACAGGCCCCAAATGACACCTATCTATTTTTAGACCTTCCTATGTGCCACACTGAAAATCAAAAGAGATGTTTGAGCCTTTCCAAATTAAAAGAATAGGTTCCCAGTGTGACAGGGTGGTGGTCTCTGAAGCAGCCACTCAGCTTTCGAACATGTTCCATTTGGTTGAACTCCCCCAGGTTGTTGAACTATTCGCTATGTTACAAAACTTCTCTTTTTAAGGAGGCAAGTGTTAAAGTGATCATTCTAAGGATCTATTAAGCACTAAACCTTTAGTAAAAGTGAAATAAGGAGTGTGATTGCACGCTCTTCTGTTCCCATGCGCACCTCAAACTTTAAGTAATTGTTTTAAGCTAGGGATATCCAGCTGGAAGCCTCTGGGCTGCACACAGCCTGCAAGGCCTTAACTCACAATCACACTCCCTCCCTACCCCAACACTGTCCCTTGCTGCTGCCACTGGAGTTTCCAAGCTCCCCCTCCCTCTTCCAGCTTCCACGTCCTGCCCCCACCCCTGGGCGAGGGACAGGGCAGCTTGGCTGACCAGACCCAGGGGACTTGCAGGGCATCCATATGATGCAACAGTGGGGAGGCTGCAGCCAAGGATGGCTCCTGTAACATGTGGGCTGGAGAGACCTGTGGCACCCAACAGCTGGGGAGTTGAACAGACCTGTTCTAAAGCACTGAAAGCTTGGGATTCACACTTTTTATCCATTACAAGTCTTCAGAGACAGTTATAAAGCCGTCTTGCTGCTGTGCTATGAAATAAAGCTGTTTGAAGAACACAAACATTCAATTAAATCAAGTTAAATGTCATGTTAAAGGATACCATTGTAATGGGGGTAAATCCACAAAGCCTGGACTTGTATGTCTACCTCTAGCACAGCTAGACACTAAGGCAGGAGATAGGAATTTAAATTACAGCTTACACAGATAAGTGCAAACTGGAGTGGCAAGTTCCAAGAGTAACAGCTACTTTCATTTATAGATTAATCAAAGAGAGCAGTTAAGTGTTGAAGTCCACAGCATACCTCCAATGACAGTTCCATGGCTAAAAGGGATACTTTTTTTTTTTTTTTTTTAACCTGTTAATTAGATTTCTTGGAGCATGCTTGTAACAGCTAAGGCAGGGGATTTACACCTCTATTACACCAACGGACTGAGAAAGTAGTCACTAAGGGCATCCCTTTGCAGCAACATAGTTGGATTCCAGTCCAAGTCTAAAGTAACTACAACAGCTGTGAACAAAAACCCACACAACTAAACAAAGCAGGCGGATATAAAAACTTGCTGCCCCCTCAGCTACCTTGCCACCTAATGCAACAGCAGTTGTACATATTGCCATGCCACAGTACTGAAACACAAGAGAAGAATTAAAAGTGCTCCCATCTTGGCTGCTCTTTTGCAGCTGAAGTTATTCTGTCTGGATAGTCCTCTGAGGAAACATGTTTTTAGGAGTGAACCTCCTGACTGTACTTGTGTGAGCTCACACGCTGGGACCAAGCCAGTTCCAAGATCAAGTCCATAACTGCAGGGTGACCCTCAGAAAGACAGGCCAAATATTGTATCCCAGTGTGCGTTTAAAATTTGGGCTGCTAAACTAAAGGCCTATAGAAAAGGCTAAGAAATTGCCCCAAATAACTTGTAGAGGAGACATTTTGGCTGCTTACAGATGTAAAAAATTAATTAATTAATAAACCAGCACTTTACTTCAAACTCCATGTATCCCTGTACCAAGCCCAGTGCACGCACAGAAGAGGCACCACATGAGCTGAGCCCAGCTCACTCAACATCTATACAGACTGGGCTCTTTAGTGGGGCCTTAATCTAATAGCTAATTGAATTGGCTTTAGCTCAAAGCACCAAAAAGCTCCGCTGAAGCACCCAATCTAAACAAACCCTGTAAAGCCAGGTCAAACTAACACGCTGCTTCTTCCGGTAAAGCATGGTTGTCTGGCAGCACCTATAATTCCCATCTACCACAAAGCATAAAAAAAGATATTTTCACCCCAAAAGGGTGGCACCTCAGCATGGCTAATTTTCCCAATACCAGTCTTAAGCAACCAATAGAAGTTCTCATAATTCAAATTTCTTTAGGACTTAGAACAAATACCACTACTGAGACCATTTTGATCAAAGTCACCAGTAAACCACTGCCACATGTTTTTTACAAGGAACATGACCTGTAGGTCCAAATCAGTTTGGTGGATGTGACAACCCTAAGGTAATCCCTGAAAGCCATGCATAAGATGCAACATGTTCTGCAAGTTTTTAGTGTAGACCTACTCGGGAGTAACTGGTGCCTCCTGACCAGGCTATTTACCATAAAGGGTAGGACCCACTGAGAAGGATGAGAAGTAGAAATCAGGTTCCCATGTTTAGGGTCATGGATTTCACCTGAGAAAGGCCTATTTGTCAAAATACTCAGAAAAATATTCAATAGTAAAGAGAATAGCAGAAACTGAAATCAAGGCTGTAAACAAGAACTGCCAGGTCCAGAAACAAGAACAAGGAGAACAGCCACAGGTCAGCTGCTACCAGCGAAGAAGAAAGGGAACCACTAGCATAGTAACCATATATACAAGGCTATAGTCTCCAGCATACTGGGATTCCCCCTGACCACCCCTCCCCAAATCTTTACCTGCAAAAAACAAGTTGTAAATCTACTGTCAAAAGTTATTAGTTGAGTCACTGCAATTAGTAAGATTACCACAATCTTTTTCTAACCTTGTAACATCAAATTGTAATATGCAGTACGTGTCAACACAGAAATTTCACCAAAAATGCAGAGAAATAATCACACTTTTTTCTTTAGTTTGGCCTCAGCTATTAATATATTCCATACTGGATAAAGGACCTTTTCTTCCCATACTTCAAGAAGGGTTTTCTGTTC